TACTTACAAAGAATATAATAATAGAAAATTCCAACGTATACAAAGTAAACAGAACAGTATAATGAACCCCAGGTGCCCAGCAGCCAGAATCAGCACGCCTGTGATTTTTATTTCCTGCGCATCTCCACCGGGCCTCCTTCCCTGCTTGCTTGTTAGTATACGGTTCTTTTTTTAAGGCAAAATTTGCATATGTTAAAATGCACATTTCTTTATAATTTTGGGAAATGGATATTATCGTGTAATTAAGAGATAGAACATTTCTGTCACCTAGAAAGCTCCTTCATGGCAGTTCTCCACCCCCATTCGAGGCAATCACTCTTCTGGCTTTTTTTCCTTTATCCTCTTCTAGAAATTCGTACTAAATGGTATCTCCTAGAAAGTGCTGAATGTGCTCTCTTGACCAGCTCTGTTGGCTCAGCATGAAGTCTTTGAGATTCATCCACACTGTGGCTCCGGCAGTTTATACCTTTTTACCAACCTTTTTACCACCAAGTAGCAGAGTAGCATTCGTAGCATGACACAATCTGTTTATCCCTTCTCCTGGTGACAGACTTTTCAGTGGTTTTGGTTTCAGGCTGCTATGAATAAAGCTGCTATTAATTAAACCTCATGTACAAGTCTTGTTAGGATATAGGTTTTCATTTTTCTTGGCAGTTACCTAGAACAGAATCGCTGAATCAAAGGGTGTAGGTGTTTCACTTTATAAGAAACTGCCAAGCCTTTTTCCAAAGTGATTACACCTGCTTGCATCCCCACCAGCAAAGAATGAGAGTTGCAGTTGCTCTGCACACCTCCTCCCACTCCAGCATTTGGTGTTAGTCTGAAATGTTAGCCCCCCTTGTTGAGTATGTAGTGGAGTCTTATTTTGGTTACTTTCCACTTCCCTGATGACTGGTGATGCTGAATACTCACTCATGTGCTGCTTATTTGCCACTCATGTACCTTTTGTAATGTGTGAGAGTATTTCTTAAATGTTTGAAATAATCTACCTGTGAAATCACCTGGGCCTAGAAGTTTCCTTCGTGGGGAAGCTTCACCCCCATACCCCGTGATGTTTATCACAGCATCATTCATAGTGGTGACGAGCTGGAGACAAAGCAGGGCAGTGGATGATGGTACCCTGGTCCCACGGAATGTTACAGTCAAATAGAACGTACCAAGTAATTTGGGATTTTCATAAGGTTTTTCAAAGCTTCATTGAGATATAATTTACATATCATAAAAGTCCACCCATTGTAAGGAAACATATAGTTGTGCAGCTCTCACCATGATCCCATTTTATTTATTTTATTTTATTTTTTTTTCATGATCCCATTTTAGAACACTTCTATCAGCTGTGAGGAGGCTTTTGATAACAAATTCTGTTTCTTTGGTAAACGTAGGGCTACTTTTTTTTTAAATTTTTTTAAAGATTTTTTAAAAAAATTTATTCATGAGAGACACAGTAAGAGAGAGGCAGAGACATAGGCAGAGGAAGAAGCAGGCTCCATGCAGGGAGCCCGATATGGGACTCGATCCCAGGACTCCCAGATCATGCCCTGGGCTGAAGGCAGGTGCTCAGCTGCTGAGCCACCCAGGGATCCCCAAAGGGCTACATTGATTTTCAAGTTTGTGTTGGATTTGGTAATTACATTTTTAAAGGAATTTGTCTATTTAAATTGTCATATTTTTTGGCATACACTTGTTCATAATACGCTCTTTTATCTTTTTAATAATCTAACTCTAGTGATGTCCTCTCCATCATTCCTGATACTAGGATTTGGTGGTAGTGTTTTATCTCATTTTTTTTCCTCCATTGGTCTTGCTAGGGGTTTATCAGTTTTATTAATCTTTTCAAAGAACCAACTTTGGGTTTATTCATTTTCTCTATTATTTGTCTGTTTTTAAAAGATTTATTTATTTATTTGAGAGCTGGTAGGGGGTCCAGGGGAGAGAGAGTCCCAAGTAGACTCCTTGCTAAGCGTGGAGCCTGACACAAGGCTTGATCTCACCACCCCGAGATCACAACCTGAGTTGAAGCCAAGAGTTGGTTACTCAACCTACTGAGCCACTCAGGTGTCACTGTTTGTCTGTCTTCTGTGCCATTGATTTCTGCTCTTTATTGTTGCTTTTCTTCTGCTTTGTTTTAATTTATTCTTGTTTACCTTCTTGAGGTGAAAACATAGATAATTGATTTTATCCATTTCTTCCTTTCTACATAAGCATTTAAAGCCACAAATGCACTTCTAAGTCCTATTTTCCTGCATTCCGTACGTCTTGATATGTTGTTTTCTTATGGTTTGCTTTAAAATGTTTTCTAATTTGCCTTGTGATTTCTTCTTTACCTGTGGTTTATTTACAAATGTGTTGTTTGATTTCCAGATATTTAGGGCTTTTCTACCTAGTTTAGTCTGCCTGCCTGCCTTCCTTCCTTCCTTCGACCTTATTTATTTATTAGAGAGAGAGCACAAGCACAAGTGGCAGTGGGGAGACAGAGGGAGAGGGAGCGGGAGAAGCAGGCTCCCCACGAGCAAGGAGCCTGATGCGGGGCTGGACCCTAGGACCCTGGGATCATGACCTGAGCCTAAACCAGATGGCTCGCTGACTAAGCTACCCAGGTGCCCCTCTACTATCGCTGACTTCTAATTTAAGTCCCTCATGGTCAGAGAATATGTTCCATAAGTCTTTATATTTGAAAATTTATTAAGACTTATCTTTGGGTCCAGCATATTCATCTGATTGAAGAACACCTGAATGAAGGTGTTAAATATGGGTTCGATAGAAGGCTAGTTATGTCAAGGTGGTTAACAGTACTGTTAGGATCTTGTGCATCTTTACCAGTTTTCTCAGTGACTGTTCTGTCAGTTATGTAGAGGAGTACTGGAACTTCTAGCTTTTTCTTCTTTCTGCCGTCAGGCTTTATTCCTTGTGTGTGAAGCTCTAAATAATAGCACATTGTCCTGTCTTTTTGACGTACTGCTCCATCATCACAAAGTCATTATAGGTAGTGATAATCTTTATTTTGAAATCTACTTTGTCTAGTATTAATATAACTACTTCTTCCCCTTCAGCTTGAGGACTTTCTTCCTACAGATTGGAAAGATTAGATAAACTTTTCCATAAAAACCCTTCCAGGGCGACTGCACAGTTGGTTAAGTGTCCCACTCTTGGTTTCGGCTCAGGTCCTGCTCTGGGTCCGGAGATGGAGCCCTGTGATGTCAGGCTCTGTGCTCAGTGGGGAATCTGCTTTCTTCTCCCTCTGCTTCCCCCCACTCATGTATACTCTCTCCCTTTCTCTCTAAAATAAATCTTAAAAAAAAAAACCACTTCCGATAAAATGAAATGTTGAAATTGTATAATTTAATGTTTTTTATTTTTTAGACTTGGACCTGGTAATTATAGTTTTTTCTGGTTGTAGGAAAAAATCAATTTATGGTAGATATCATTGTTTCTTTTGGGAGCAAAGGCTGCCTGCACTCCACTGTGTTCAATTCCAGGATTGTTTCTGTCTCCAGCAGGATAGTGAAAACAAATAAAACCCTGGATATCACCTGACCACAAAATTCGAAGCAGCTCCAAGACACAGAAGATTGGTTAATTCCAGTTTTTTAGATTATTTTAGTGATATTTATTTATTTATTTATTTTTAAAAGATTTTTTATTTATTTATTAATGAGAGACACAGAGAGGGGGTGGGGCAGAGACACAGGCAGAGGGAGAAGCAGGCTCTATGCAGGGAGCCTGATGCAGGACTCGATCCCCGGACTGCAGGATCATGCCCTGGGCGGAAGGCAGGCACTAAACTGCTGTGCCACCCAGGCTGCCCTATTTTCATGATTTTTAAAAGAACAGAAATTATTTGTATTTTATTAAAATAAAATATTGTTATTTGAACAAAGGTTTGCTGTGCTTAGATGAAAGTACCTTTCTAAATATATTAGTTCATTATTTCTGAGTGAAATGTTTGTGGAGGCATAAAAGAATTATGTCTGCCATAAGCAGAATATGTTTTAGGGTATGATAACTGGTTTTCATATTAAAGATGAGAAGAGTGGATGGTTGTTTGTCTCACTGTTTGACTATCCAGTTGTAAAAACTAATTTTTTTCATACGGATAATTATAAAATCAGAACTGTCACTAGCTCCATTGGTTTCTTGCTCTTTCCACCTAGGACAAGGTTTCTCACATTGGCACTATTGACGTTTGGGCCCAGATTATTATTTGTTGTGGGGCCTGTCCTGTGCCTTGTAGGATATTTAGCGTCCTTCCTGGCTGCTACCGCTGAATGCCAGTATGGAACAGCATGTTACAGAACCTGTGACAGCTAAAAATGTTTCCAGAAATTGTCAGATTTCCCCTGAGGGGCTAGGTCCTTCCCAGTGGTCCTTCCCACTGAACTACAGCATGCCACAAGTAGGAGCATGACAGGCACCAGGTAGAGGTAGGGTCTTCAGCAACCTAGTCCTGAGTCAGTGGGCTCCCCTTAAGGGATGGGACCTTGGAGAAGAGCCTTGGTCATCTCTTCCAGTGCAGACCCCAGGAAAGGTGATTGAAAGATGCTCTATAATCAGTTGCCTAAGTGCCCCCAAAAGAATGTTCCACTTGATCTTTTTTTTTTCCCTCTGATTGGTATCTTTATTCAACTCCCCTGTCTGCTCATGGAAGTCTGAAATGTGTACTTCAGGTGGTATTCATGTTGCTCAGCTGGTTAGTAATAAGGAATTTTAGTATATGTTCCTATGTTTATTAATTATCAAAGAAACCACCAAGGTGTTCTTTCAGTTTAGATGGGGAAAATTTGAATGTATGTCCAAAGCTGTAAGAACCTTGGTTTTTATCAGATAATGCAGATTGAGGCGTGTTGAATTTTAACTGCTGTCGGGAAAAATATAAGCTGATTAACTTGCTTGAAATATTTGTGAGTTTTTCAGTTGTGACCATGGGTAATAAATAATGATTGACTAACCCTAATTGAAAGATGGCTTAAATTATAAATTATTTATTTTTACCTACACAATAGTATCGAGCAAGTGAACAATCTGCGGGAGATACAAGCCCTGAGGCGCCTGAATCCACACCCAAACATTCTTACGTTGCATGAAGTGGTTTTGTAAGTATATTTGGGGCTTTACAAATTATCTCAATTTGATTACATGATTAAGTCTTTTTAAGAAAGAAAACCATGGTAGACATTTAAAATATTTGTCTTGTAGCTCAGGGAGTAATGATTTTCATTTTATCTTGTCACATATTTCTTTACTTGGACAAATGTATAACTGATTCCTGCTGTGGAAATGCCTTCGTTTAGGTGACCTCGTATTATAAAAGCATACAAAATTCAAATGGTTCCTCTGCTGTAGGTCCGTGAGGCTTCTTTGTAGACAGTGGCTTGTGCATCTAAGGCCTAATAGGAAAGTACTGTTGTCATGTGTCAGGGACTGTACTTGCTTTGTCCCTGCCAGTTGCCACGTCTGCACAATCTCAGGCAGTGAGACCTCCTACCTTACTATGGTTGATGCAATTCAGGGGACTTTTCATCTCTGTTCTAGTTCTAAGAATAGTTTCCCTAAAGCTTACCTATCAATCAAGAAGGCAGAGCACAGCTCATCCCTAGGTGTTGGCAATTCTGCACCATACTTCTGGACCCTGAGCCAGGAACTCAGACCCAGGGTCCTGGGACCTGCCCTTCTGTGGGCCCTGAGAAGGTGCACACCATGTAAAGTCTCTCTGTGGCTCTCCAGGCTGCTTTTAAACCAGCCAGGTGTCTGACAATGAAAGTGCGATTGATTTTAATTAGAGGATTGAGCCGTCTTAAACTCAAAGTGAAATGTCTCATCATAGCTGTGTGGCCTCCTGGCCTGCAGTGTTCTGAGCGGTCAGTGCGGGCCAGGTCCAGAGACTGCGAGGTGCAGCAGTCACCATGGGGATGGTGCTTTGTGCACACTTCACAGGCATTTCTGCCTGGGATTGCGTGTGGGTCTCCTGATAGCCCCGCCAGAGGTGCCCTGAGTAGGGTCTGCAGTGACACGCTTTCCCCTCCTGGGGCTCAGGATCCCTTAGAGCTGTCTGAACTCAGATGCTGGCAGCTTGGTCAGGGGCCCCCATCCCTAGTCTGTGTAAGGCCTGGATGCCACACCGGCATCACGTGACCGGTCTTCCTCCCTTTTCCCCTGACTGCTTTGTGGATTTTGTTACCCCATTATAATTTATCCCAATGACATGGAAGGAATTTAGGTAAATTAAAACTAAATTTGTAGTCACAGAGCATGAATTGATCTTTTTCCTCTTTTTTGCTTAGCCAACTCCTCAACCTCATTTCTTCTTTCTGCTGGGAGTTAATTTTATATGTTTAAGACACATCTCATTAAAAAGAGAATTGTTTAGAATTTTTGCTTAAAGTTAAGGTTTTACTATTAAGTTAATTTTACCTGAAGTATTGATTGAAAAATCACAAGCTCTCTTTCAGTCAGTAAAGTCTTTGATGTGGGAGTGCTTTATGTCTACCAGAAATATTTACAAATGAATTAAATATTTGATTATATTTTCTGATCAAGATAAGAAAAAACATTTTTACAAACCTGCCTTCTTCTTCAGTGACAGAAAATCTGGTTCTCTTGCACTAATATGTGAACTTATGGACATGAATATTTATGAGCTAATACAAGGTACGTAGAATAATTTGCAAGCTAATCTAAGATCTTTCAAAGCTTGTAGTGCACATATACTTTGTTCTGCTTCTCAAAATTATTAGTCACCAGAGTGCAGTAGTTACATATAGTAACATACAGTACTGAACTACTTCCCTCTTGGGAGGTCTTTTTCTGGCATTCTCATCTACCCAGAATAGGGCTGCCCTTGAGAAAAGTAAAGCCATGTGCCTTCAGGCTGGCCAGTGATGTGGATGAGGATGGCTCCCCGTCAGGCCTTCCTCACCGCGGCTCCCTGCAGGGGGCGCTGTGCCACTCCAAGGTTCCCTCTCCTGACTGCGGCTGTTCAGCATTCTGTTCTGTGCCTCAAAATAAGGCAAGGCTTGCCCCCAGACATCATCCCTCAGATGGGAGAAGACCTCCTTCTATTTGGATCCTTACACAGTCTCTCTCCCGGGCACAGGGTGCTCACTTATTTACTTTTTTTTGAACAATAAAGCACTGTTTAGGGATCCCTGGGTGGCGCAGCGGTTTGGCGCCTGCCTTTGGCCTAGGGCGCGATCCTGGAGACCCGGGATCGAATCCCACGTCAGGCTCCCGGTGCATGGAGCCTGCTTCTCCCTCTGCCTGTGTCTCTGCCTCTATCTCTCTCTCTGTGACTATCATAAGTAAATAAAAATTAAAAAAAAATAAAGCACTGTTTAGGAAAGTACATGCGCCTCAGCTGGTTCTGGAGGCTTATAGAGGTCACCTGAAGGAAACTAGAGAGAAGGAGGCAGATGGTTGGCCCACATTTAGCGAATATCCCTGGGGGTCTGACTGCACAGTTGTGTTAGATGTCAGGACAAATGAGCCTCGGAGACGTCGCTGAGAAGCGGCACAGAAAGTGTGGTATTTTACAGATCACATTGTGCTTATCGGACAGATGAAAACAAATCAACTGCTTCATGTTCTGCGAGTGACTATTTATGGCTTGGAATAGAATTTTAGTGGCAGCTGCGTAGTGGATTTAAAAACCACTGCATTCTATTTTCTGGAACAATTTAGGCCAAACCGAAGAAGGTGCACTGTGTAACATTTTTTAAGACCAAGAAGCTATTCTGTGATGAAGACACTGATGCTGAAGATGCACATGAAGAGCTCAAATAAAATTATTATGAAGCGGGAAAGTGGAAAAAATTATCAAATTAGTATATTTTATATGTGATTTGAAATGTATGCTTTAGTAAATTACTAATAAAAAAAAAGCAAAAATAGGCAAATTTTTCTACATCCATAAAAGTTGATGAAAAACTTTCGGATCTAAAAACTTTAGGACATTTTTTGAGAAAATAGGAGATTGCCTTATATCTGGGCATATATGATATTTATGTTACAAACCTTGTGCTTTTATTCATAGGTAAGCCCATCACTCTGGGATCTGTTTGTGTTTTAAGTCTAGTTCTAACAAGTTAGTTATCAGGTTTCTTGGTTTAAAACCTATTAAAAACAAGAGCTTCTAGAATTTAGCCCATCAGCAGTAATAGAAAGTGAAGGTGACAATCCCACAGTGGGCGAGGAAACTGAAAATATAAAACAAGGAAATGACAACAAAGCCACCACAAACAAGAGCAGCCTGGGCAGACAGCTGAGAGATCCCAGGTCCCCCAGGATGGGCTAGAGAACGCACACCCGCATGATGCATGGTGGTAAGCATACCCTGTCAGCAGCATGATGGAAAGTAGGAAAGTAAAGAAAGCAAATGTTTTAAAAAGATTCCTGCCTAAAATGCTTGCAGTAGAAAAGAGTTTTATATTCAAGGAGTAAGCCTTATTGATCTGGAAATTTCCCTTCTTAAGCATCTATTCCAAATAGTCTGGATAAATGAGGTGTTGCTCCATGGTTTCATTTTCTCATACATTCTGTCTGACACAAATTGTGCCCTTTGGTCCTATCTGTCCATCAGAGGATCAGGACAGGGCCCCAAATACGATCTAGAGAAACAACCACCAAACCTTATATTACTTCATTTATAATTTTTTTTTACCAGTGAGCCAATATTTTGCTTTTTAATGTACCTACATAATCACTTCCTTTATTTAGTAGCAGTCCTCTTGGTGTGAGATGTGTCTTATATTAGATTTCTGATTGTTGTTTCCTAGAGTGTGAAATTTCAAAACTCAGGGGGAGGGGGTAGTAATTTCCAGCAAGTTTCTATGTGTTTAGACATTTGAGAAATCTTTGTTTAGAAATAAATATCTTTAATTTCCAGTAGTAAGGGAATTGTATAATTGGAGAAATTCATTTCTTTCAGTATTTGTCTACAGAGAGAGATTATAGAAAATGGAATGTTATGGGGCCCCGGCATGGCTCAGTTGGTTGAGCATCTAACTCTTGATCTCAGCTGAAGTCTGGATCTCAGGGTCATATGTTTGAGCCCCTTGTTGGGCTCCATGTGGGTGTGAAGCCTACTTAAAAAAAAATGTTATATTGTAGATCAACAGACATTGACTCATCACATAAATGTTGAGAACCTCTCATAGGCCAGTGCTGGGCTCAGTGCACAGAGCCTAAGATGCTGTCAGAGGCACCATAGTTTTAGAGATGTTAAAACATGGGGAAGATGACCGGCAGTCATTGTAAGATGCTAAATATTGTGTCATGATTTCAGAGTTGTTAAAGTGTGAGGGAAAAAATCTTCTGAGAATTGATGAAACACAGTGATCACTGTAACAGCCAACAGTTAGTGGATGCTGACCACCTGTCAGATGCTCTTCCTAGCACTTTCTAGGAATTAACTCATTTTACCTTCACAGCAGCCATTCAAGCAGACACTGTTACTCTCCCCATTTTAAAGATGGAGAAATGGAGGGATAGAGAGATAAATAACTTGTCCAAGGTTATGTACCTAGTAAATGGTGGATGTGGGTTTTGGGCTTGGACAGCCTCTTCCAGAGTGCCTGTTCTTAACCATCACACATACAGCCTCTTGACGTCCCACAGTGCTTGACGTCCGGCAGTGCAGATAATGATCATCATCATTATCTCTGTTTTACAGATGAGGAAATCGAGGCTTCAAGGATTAAGTGATGACCCAAGGTGAAGTTGTTAATAAATAGTAGAACCAGAACTTACACTCCAGTCTGACTTCTGACTGAAGCATTAACTTTCCCGCTGTACCCACTACCTTGGCCCCCACAGCCCCCGCTCAGTGCCTCTAGTGCATAGGCACCTGCTCATTATCTGTGCTTATTGATGACAACATTGACTTAATTGAAAACTGATCAATCACTAAAGCTTTTCCTATTAGAATGACAGTTCATTTTACTTAAATGACTACTCTCAGATGGTTAGAATATTGAGTAGCACAGTCAGGTATCGAAGAGCCAGTTAATGGCATGAGTGGATGATCACACTGTTGTCATTGAGCTGCCCGCTTACATGCACATCAGTGGGCAAGGTCTGGTGAAAGTAGAGGGGAAGAATAGAAGATGCTTCTTTGTGGGTTTTGTTTTTTGTTGTTTTTTTTTTTTTTTGAAGGTTTTTATTTATTTGACAGCACAAGCAGGGGGAACAGGAGGCAGAGGGAGAGGGAGAAGCCGACTCCTCGCCAAGCAGGGAGCCCGCTCAATCCTAGGACCCCGGGATCATGACCTGAGCCAAAGGCAGACACTTAACCAACTGAGCCACCTAGGTGCCCCAGGAGATGCTTTTTTCGATAAAGAGTGTAGAGTCTGTTGAAGAGAGAAACTATATGAAAGTCAATCATTAGAGAAAATGAATTGCTTGGGGTTATTTTCTCTTTGTCCAGTAGGTGTCAGATGAGGCAGAGATGATTGTGGTCTTCATCTGGAAGAGTGGCACATGTAGGCAAATGCAGGAGAGGATGTCTTACTGCTACATGCCAGGCGCTGCTCTGCAGGTGGGCACAGTGGGGGACATGGCGGACATAGTCCCACCCACATGGGTTCACACTCTGAGGAAGAGAGAGAGATGCTGAACAAGTGAAGAAATGATCACGAAACAGTTCAAGAGGGGGATAAGTGTTATGAGTAAATAAAACAGGCCACATGTCGGAGTGATGGGGATGAACTAATCCAGACAGAGTCAGCTAGTGCGAAGGTCCTGAGGCCACTGTGAGGTTAAGAGGCCAGTGTCGCTGGAACATGAGGAAGACAGTTATAGGAAATGAGGTGGGCAGGGGGCAGTAGGACAGGTAGGGCCAGGGTAAGAAGTCCAGTTATTTAGAGTTCAATGGGAAGCATTAGTGGCTTTTAAAGCAGAGGAAAAGCATCTTTTGGTTTGTGTTTAGACCAGTGTTTCTAAAACTATAGTGGAAGACCAGTTTTTTATTTGTTCATTTTTCTTTCTAATCAGTTGTGGACCAGGACTTTTGTAAAATATGTAAAAATTAATTACTGGAAAAATGATTATGTGCTTGGGTGTCGCAGTGATGTTGAGTTGCCATAAGAGTTCCTTAGTCACTCTTGTTTTGTCATCTCTTAAACCAGTAACAAGCAGGAGCACTTGGGTGGCTCAACTGGTGAAGCGTCTGCCTTCGGCTTTGGTCATGATCTCAGGGTCCTGGTATCAAGCCCTGCATCAGGCTCCCTGCTCAGCAGAGTCTGCTTCTCCCTCTCCCTTTGCCTCTTACCCCTGCTCTTGCACACACATTCTCTCTCTCTCTGTCTCTCTCTCTCTCATAAATCAAAAGATCTTGGGGATCCCTGGGTGGCTTAGCGGTTTAGTGCCTGCCTTTGGCCCAGGGAGTGATCCTGGAGTCCTGGGATCGAGTCCCACGTCGGACTCCCGGCATGGAGCCTGCTTCTCCTTCTGCCTGTGTCTCTGCCTCTCTCTCTCTCTCTCTCTCTCTCTCTCTCTCTCATTAATAAATAAAATCTTAAAAAAAATCTTAAAAAAGCCCCTAGACCAGTATCAGTTCATGGACTACACTTTTTAGAAGGATATTTCTGTTTTTTTTTTAAGATTTTATTTATTTATTCATGAGAGACACACAGAGAGAGAAAGAGAGGCAGAGA